ACTCTTCTTGAACTCATGTGGCCTCTTTCACTCCCACCACATCTCAACTATTACCTGCCATAATGGGGATTTACATCTAGGTCTGACCTCCTTCTTCCCACCTCAGGAAGGAACTCCAAAGGACAGATAGGTATGAAGCCCACAGGTCAGCCACCTCCTGTTCCCAAGTCTTCCATCCTATTTGGTCACCACTTGCCTTAATAATAAGATGGTTTCTTGAGCAACCATTGCACACATGAGGAGAAACCCCAACCCTGTGCCAATCTCTCCTTTATGTCTCTGGGTACCCTGGAAAGGTTTATTCCTTCCATGAACTGCTTTCTTAATCTTTTTTTTTTTTCCTCTGAAGTCTCTTTTGTACTCCTGTCCCAGCACCCCCTGCTGCTGCTTGTCTCCTTTAAAAAGAAATCTCTGGGGAACACTGACATCTTTGATTTAATCACCCCCAACACACTACAAGGAGGCCATGGTTTCGCAGACTTTCACTGAACCTCAGGTATGTTCAAGGGGCTTGAACTTCTAGAGAGTCCCACCCACCACGGAGAGTATCAATCCATGATCTTAAGAGACATTACCTACCAGGTTACAGGAGTGTCTTTGATGTTCATCTTTGGGTTTTGTGGAGAGCAGTCTGTGCCCTGCTATGAGTGACTCCCTGGATAGAACAGCAGTTTCCAGGCTGTGCCTAAACCTGTTACTCCATTTGATATAACAGTAGTTTACCATAGCTATGCCATTTTGAGTTTAGGTGCTGAAGTAGAATGACTCTCCACCTTGTTTGTATACGTAAATGCAGCCATCTATCATAAGGCACAAAGTGATAAATTGTTCATACTAATAAAAATGACCAGCTGTGAACATATTGAATTAATTAAGCACATGGACATATGGACGAATCACCCTCCTGCCAGAAAAACCAGACCCATGAACTTGTTGAACACACTAGGCCACCAAATGAAGCAAACCCCTCACTCGAGGTCCATAAAAGGAGGAGCACCTGTGTCTGGACAGGTGGCATCCTGACCTTGTCATCTAGTCATTCCTTATCAAGAGCTTTGCCCAGGAAGATCACCACAGCAACAAGCCTCCAAATTTCTGTCCTTGGGCTCCAGCAGAGTGCTCTTTCTTCTGCCCTCCATGGCCACGCATGGCCCACTCCAAACCGACATCTCAAGCGGACACTCTGAAAGTGCCATCTGTCTGAACCTTGGCCTAGAATAAGTTCCTGCACTTTGACACTTCTGCACCCTGAACAAGTTCTTTGGCTGGTCTGTAATTATGTCTGACCACATACAGTGACTCTTTGCTATCTGCTCTCTACATATGCTCTCCTCTCAGCATCCTGAATCCCTAAGGCTGCTTTTACCCTTAGCAATCCTGTAACATACACACACACACACACACACACATTTGTGTAGTATGATTTATATGTCTATAATACTTGAGTGTTATAGACATTAGAAATTAAGACTGGAATAAAAGAACAGGTGATTTCTTATCTTATGACTCCCAGGTGACCCACAAGTGGTGAATGCCAACAACGAACTTGGTGTAACTTGTGAATTTATTGGTGTTCAATAAATTCTGACTTTGTGGAAAGACACAAACATGTTTGGTCTATGTGATTGGCATAGCTTACTCATGAGAGGCTTCCCCAAGACAAGGATGGATGGGCCAATAGTTTCCTTGGAAGGTGGCTCTGGAAAGCACCCTGGGTGACTGGCAACTTGCCCTCCTGACCTTGAGGACCTGGGTGTTTCCCTCCCTGACTGGTAGAGAGCTGCTCCAGCAGCCCTGACCCACAGGCACAAGGGACTCACACTGTGCGCCAGCAGAGCTGGCTCTGGGGACAGGGATCACCCTCAGGCAGAGGTACTTGTGGTCAGTCGTGCCCATGGGCTGTTTGTAGTGACCTCCAGGGTAGGCCAAGGTACAGGGGCAGGGCAGAGAGGGCCTCCTCTACAGTCACCTTTTCTGTGTGGTCTCGTTGATGGACATGCTGTTCCTGCCCACCACACTCTCCCTGCACAGATCTCATTTCCCTTGTCAGATCCCCGGGTGATTGCACCTTTTGTCACCCCTGATACAATTGTCTCACTATCTTAGAGAGTGAACTGTGTACATCTCACATTGTGCTTTGGGCTTCAGTTGGAAATTTGCCCAAACTTCCTGTAAAACAAATTAACTAAAATCTACTATTACTATATGAAATATTGATTTGATTCTAAAGTGTAGTTCAGCTTAAGAGAAATCAGCTCTAAACCATGTGTTACTAAATTCCATTCTCTGACCACAGGAAAAGAATTGAGAACTAAGTGAATTATTTTCACACAAGGTTTTATAAACCTGGGGAGAAAGACATTGGTAAACCAGAGGCTCTGTAAAAAGCTATAACTAAAAAGAAACTATATGATTGTACTGCTATTTTGTATTTATGGAAGCAAAAGTCGGGGGCGGGGGGCTTTTCTAAAATTCTTCTGAATCCAGGAATTACTGTTCCTAGTATCATGTTTCCATCCGTTTTAACCAAATTACTGACTTTCTGATAGTGATAATGAACCTGTTTTCAGATTTAAAGTTATGATGAATTTATCCTTTATTAAAATAGAAATGATGAGAATGGATTCATGTAATTAAAAAAATTATTTCTATCAAACACATTTGCCTAGAAACTACATATGTCATCTTGCTAAGTGCCAAATAAAAGCTTAATTATTATAAGTTTTAGATTATATCATAATGTAGTTATGTCTGTCTAGGTCAGGAGATGGAAGCCACATGATGATTTAAACAGGAGAAGTTTAATATAAAGAATTATTAAACTCTGATAAAAGAATATTGTAGGATGTGAGAAAAGTGTATGAGATATCCTAAAGCTGAGGGAAGGTACTTAAGGGAGACAAGTTTCAAAGGAGACCTTCCTGAAGCTGGTCTTTAAACTCATTCAAAAAGATGTAGCTGCAATCCACTAGATACTAGAGAAGTTCACTCGCTGTCTGAAACAGAGCTGGCCTGCAGTCACTAGGCAAGCAGAAATCAGCCCTTGAACATTCAGGCAGGGTACAGGGGACTTGCAACTGGTGATGACAAACATGGGCCTGCAGATACAATAGGAGCACTGGGGCATTCAGAGTCTGTGAGGTGAAATCCAGATGGTGGCCAGGTGTGCTTGCCTACAGTGAAAGGAATCCTGGTGTGGTGAGAGGCCTAGAGCAGGACCCCTGTCAGGGGAACCACAGGAAAGTGATAGCCAGGCCTGCCCAGGGTGGAAAGGTTACCAATGGGCAATGCATTCTGGGTGTATGGCTGGGGCACAACACCACGGGACATCCTGCTAACACATTGTGTTAGTCAGCTTTCCATCACTGTAACAGATACCTGTGATGATCAACTTAGAAAGAAAAAAGGTTTATTTTGTTCCAGAGTTTTTGAGGTCTTAGTCCATGATCCATTGGCTCCATTGCTTTGGGCCTGTGATGGCACATCATGACAAGAGCAGGTGGTGGAGCAAAATCATTCACCTCATGGCTGGAGGAAAGAAAGAGAAAGAGGAAGGGGCTGGGGCCCCATTATCCACTCAAGGGCACACTCCCCATGACCTGAAGATCTCCCACTAGTCTCCACCTCTTAAAATTTCCTCTACTTTCCAAAAGTGCCAAGCTGGAAAAAAAGCCTATGCCACATGGATCTTTGAGGGATAGTCCCTTCTTCATGCAATGTCCCTTTAGCACCCTCAACTGAGAAAGCGTAACGTCGTAATCACTCTAAAGAATGATTGGTGATGAAGTAATGCCTAAAGAAGTGCTTCTATTACCCAGAGCTTGGTCAATTTGGAGCTGAGAGGCAATTCAGTGATAACTAGCGCCGCATGCATAACTGAAAGCTGCTAAAGTAAAAATGCAAAGTCAAAACAACTCAACAACCACTTAAAGTTTAATAGTGCACTGAAATAGCAGCAAATTTATTAAAAATTTAGATTTATATAGTAATTTTTGCTTGAGTTTGA